TATAAAAACAAAAGTAAGTAAACAAATTTTTCTCCTATTTTAGTCTTACCTGTGTGTCTTTCAATACTTGCTCGGCCTTTGCATAATCTTCATGTGCTTTGTTCAGCTGTCCTTGCTTAGCTTTAATCTCTTCTACTTTACCATCAACTTCTGCCTATTAATACAAATACATTTATACAATATTTATACTATTCATGTGAGCTCTGACTGTACCTGTACACCTCTCAAATCTTTCTCTAGCTTTGCCTTTCGACGACTATCTCTATCTATTTCTTGGTTCTTTGCTGTTATTTCTTCTTGCAACTACAGAAATTAAGTTAAGGGATTATTGTCAATAGTTTTGTTGTTTTTATATCATGTATATACCTGTAAGACTTTTAGCTCAACCGACTCTCTTTCGTTTTCTGCTTCCTTTCGTTTTTCCATTAATTCACTGAGCTCTGTGCGTAGCTATGATAAAGAGAATTATATAGTAATGTGAGTTCTATAGCTTACAGCACTAATCTCCTCCATTTGCTCATCTCTCTCTACTGTAAGCTCCTCCTTTTCTTTTTCTAGAGCCTTCATACTGTATACAAGGAGATGCAAAGTTTATGCAATGTATGTACATGTATACTACAAACCTTTCCTGCATTGCTGGGCCTAGTCCAGCTCCATTTTCTATGAGCTTATTCAAGCTGATGTTCTCAAGTTTGAGTTGGTGAATAGTCTCGTGAGTTTTGGTTTCTTTGTCTTGTGCATCGTCCACTGCACGCCACAGCTTCTCTATCTCTTGCTTTTGTGAAGATATGGTTGCTTTATCATCTTGGGTGATTTTTAGAGCTGAAGTGACTTTTGATGCATTTGAAATGAGCTCTGCATTTAGCTCTTGGCATTGTAGCATTAAGCGCTTCTCGCTCTCGTGTGATTTTATGAGTGCTTTGTGGAGTTTCTCATACTCTGTTTTGAATTTGCCCAAACTCCCATCTCCCACCATCTCTTGTAGCACCTGCAGTTGTTTGCATGTTTATCATAATCACTTATAATGGCTCACCTCCTCAAATTCCTTTTCCAATTCTTCAAAGGTGCTTTCTACCCGAACGTCCTTGCTCTCTCCATCGCCACTTGCAGAATCTGTATCCTTGGCAGCCTCCTCTGGAGGGGCTTTAGTCTCCTGTTCCTAAAATCGGAGGAAGCATGGTTAAAATAGTGTGAGCTTGCACCTCCAAACTGCTAGCTTACCTCCATTAGTCAACTTATGTTACCATGGCAACTTTATTAGATCACGTGGCTAATAAAATTTTCTTCATCTTTTAAAACTTAAAGAAAAGGAAAATGCAAGAGCAAGGAGGAGGGAGAGTCACTAGAGAGTTAAGGGAGAAAGCTGTTGAATATTACAGCCAGCA